TTTTTTTTTTTTTTTTTTTGTTGAGAAGCAACTGTTGGTGTTGAATATTTGATGAAAATTATGCATTGCATCTGTTACCGACACAGCAGTAGAAGTTCACTGGATTTTTGGCTTTTTGTAACTCCTCAAGTCCGCTAGCCGGTATTTGATATCCTTCATGCTGAAAAGCAGCAAATATAATTTTACTATGATTGCCAATTAAGCAATTGATTCATTGGTAATACTAATGAAATTTTTATTCTTTAAAAACAAGATAAATTTTGAAACATACAGTAAACTATCCAACTTTTGAATGACTTCTCTTTAATGTTTCATGAGCATAACACAGTAATAAAATATGCTTAAACCCCCTCCACTTCGACTCACTGATACCTTTATTGTACAATCGAATCATAAAGAATAAAAAAAATCGTTCAAATGATTAAACTAAATGGCAACTCCATCTAGGCCTATTTTAATATTACGTCTAAATTAGTGATTAAAAAAAAACATTTTCAATACCAAAAAACCCTTCGTCGAAAAAACGATGTTCTGAAAACTGTGTGTTTGATAAACGCACCTGACAAAAATGTCGTCCACATTCTTTAACAATTGATGCATTTTCTGAAAAAAAAAAAAGAAAGAAAAAAAGGCAGATATTGTTTTAATAAATTTCCAAATTTTGAATTAATAAAATAAACCAAAAAACAAAAGTCATAACAGTTCTGACTGTCTTTGAACAGCTTTGAGGTACTTTCTCTTCTTTTTTTTGGTAGATTAAGCGTTTAACTTATTCATTAAGCAAAAGCGTCGTTGTAAGCAGTTATTTTTCAATGTCTTTAAAAAAAGTTAAACAAAGACAATGTCGACAGTGAATATTTTGATATCAGTTTGATGATCAGTTTTAATAGAATGCATGAAACTAATCGATATGTCGCGAATTCAATCCATTCTACTCGGTACTATAAAACTTCGAGGTTCTTTCTTCATCAAAAAACTACAGTTAAAAAAAAAAAAAAACAAAATTTATTGCCTTTTGAAGAACAGAATTATCGATAGCATAAAATTTGAATAATAAAAAGTTTCAAATTATTTTGGAACGATTGCAGTTTTTGTTTTCAAACGAATTATCCGTCTCAGTCAACTTTGTTCCCGCCTTTTATCTGTTTTGGCAAATTCCCATAAATCGTGTTCTAATAAGAATTGAGTCAAAATTACGATAAGAAAGCACTTTTATATCAGTTTAAGTAATACTTTTGTTTTTAATGCTAACTGATTATTGACAACTAATTGGATAGGACATAGCAACTACTGTTAGAATAATGATGATATTACCATATGGAAACTTTTAAGAAACCAAATTTCCAAAACTATTTCTGTTGCAATAGCAATTAAACTATAATGATTGAAAATAAAATAAATCCAAAAAAAAAAAAACTGTTAGTCAATTGTTTTTAGTTAATTTACTCTAATTGTTTTGAAGTTAAAAAACATTATTTTTTTTTTCAATTTGATTAAGAAAATAGCTTTTGTTGTTTTTAAAGATTTGAACTATTACAATCAACTAATTGAGTAGCTTACCAAATGTGGTTCCTTCCTCAGCACGAATTGTTAAGCACATATTGTTTTGTTTATTTATGCTGGCAATTGATCGTTCACACTTTTGCACTTTATATGAACCATCCTTTCCCACAAAACATTCAATGCTTTGCTCTTGGTTAATTTTAACAAAATTTTCTGCTGTACCTAAAATAGGCAATTTACTGAGAACCTATTGATGGTAGTGTTGAATAATGAAGCATAGAGTAGATGAGATCAGCAAAAAAAGTGTTAAGAGATGATAACCGTTTCTTAAAAAATTTTATGTATTTGTTATCCATATTTTTGATTTATCGGTCACCAAGCTACAAAACTGTTGCCAGTAAATGGTCAACAAATTTTAGTAATAATTTAAAAATTTTTGTCAATTTTTTACAACTCTATTTTTAGTATTTTCCATTTTACCTTCTTTAATATCAGGTACGGTAAACCAGCTTAAACATAAATTGCCAAGACTGTTGTGCTAAATGTTGCTTAGCAATGGAAAATTTGTAGACATTTCATAAAAATCGGTTATGACCAAAAAAATTACAAGTCCTAATAATACTGAAATATTGTAACTACATATATAAACCGCAAAACATCTGCAGCAAATACCAACTTGCAAAAATCTTTTTTATTCAAATAAGGATAAGCATGTGCTAAAAGTAGAACAATTTTTATATTGCATTATTTTGTAAGGTTCTATTCTTCTTTTACTCTTCAACTTTTCTGTTTGAAAAACGACAATTTATAAAATTTTTGGCAAAGCAATAAGTTGTGCAAAACATGCAAAAAAACACTACAGATTACTTCAGCTATAATTTTACAATTGCATCAAAATGATTCCCGACCAAAAAAAGCAAAAAAAAGGCATATTCAACTTTTTCAAATCCAATTCTCACAATAATTTCTCAACTTTAATATTGCAAATCAGCGCAAAAAAAAGAAAAGGCTGCGTTAGTTTTAGAACACTAAATTAGCTCCATTTGAAGTGACGAGAGATACTCATCTCCTCTATTTTCTCACGTGCAAAAAATTACTTCTAAAATTTGCTTCAGAAGCTCTACTTTTGCAAAGTGGCCTGACCATAACTTATTGATAATGTTCTTTTCCTCCTCCAAAAAAAACATCGCTTTTCAAATCAGTCAGAGGATATCCGTGTTTTTTTTTCTTCTTTTTTCTTTCTACAGGGAAAAACAAGATAGCACCTTTATTTATTTTTAAATCAGTCAAAATAGCTG